AACGTATCCTTCTATTAATGGTGTTTCTTATGGTTCTTCGATACAAGTTTCCAGAGCTCATATAAGAATATACTTACTCGGACACTTCGATAGATCGTCTTCATTGGTTGTATGAATCCCAGAACAATTTATATTCGTTTTTCTCTCCCACAGTAGTCGTCCATGGTGCTGTTCTACTTGGAAGGTGGTGACATCGGCAGATCCCATTCCCTAATCATGAAATCGTTGCCATCTGCAGATGGTTGGCGTTACCCACGAACATCAAGCCCCATAATTTGTGGTTCTCCAAGAGGACGCTTGCATTTCGCTGAAGTCCACTATATTGTTCTTTTCGTTTATTTGTTATCTGTTCTTCTTATTATGTGATCGGCTCATTTGTCTTTCGTTGTTGATGTTTATTCTCCTAGATCTATAAAATGGGAGGGGTTTAGAAGATATGAGCTCAGCATTGCGGCCAGATATTATGGGTGCCGGTTATATTTCAGAAAACGTCGTCCAAGTGCTCTGTGAGTAGTGCCCAGTACTCCTAACGCGGTTGAAATATCAACCGACGTCTCTGTTGCATAAGAGAGCGCTGGAAGGACTGTCGAATCGAAAAGGTGAGCGCGAATTTTTGATTTGGTCGGTTCCTCTCTTGAGTGGCTTGAGTGTGGCCCAAGCTAATCTCCTTCTTTTGTTTAATTTCTTCTTCGTGTTGCTCTCCATGTTCGTTGAACGTCCAACACATGCTCGCGAGGTTGTTTCTGTAATCAGAGGACCATTCAGTTCGATTTCCTCACCTTCGCACTATGGGTTTCACGAACTTAGTCGTCGTTTTATTTATGCGCAGTCCAATCTTTTTCTTCCCCATCGTCGAGCTCACTGATCATCGTCTCCACTTTACTAGTACTTTTTGAAATAATCACGGTTTCATCCGGAAACGAAGATTTAATAGGAACCTTCCCTCAATACGTGTTCCATTCTCGTCCCAATCAAGTGACTTCGTTGTCGAGTGCAGTAAACAGCTTTGGTGATATTGCATCGCTTTGTCAAATCCATTTTTGTATGGCTATCAAGGGTTGTCAAGGAAAACTGTATATTTGTACTGCACTTCCAATAACAGTTTGCTATTGTTCGTGTGTAGGACGGGTTCACACATTGGTCAACTAGTTCTGATAGGATTACATTCGTTTTAAAGCTACGCAACTCCTTCCCGTAGCTGATGAAGGTTACAAGGGGCAGGTATTATAGTCCCTGTCGCAGGCGTCTATGCCAGGGACAAGGTTTGGGTGTAGTCGATGTAGCAGAATCCCTGTTGGAATCCTGCTCGCTCGACTGCTTGTGCCTCTTTAAAGGTTTTCGATATTCGCAAAAGAGTAATCTTCTGTCATTTTCCTTCCCCACTATCGCGAAGCAGCATACGTTTACTTCCACGCAATAACAAACATACAAGACAACTGTAGCTGACGTTTCGGCAGTATCGCCTTCTTCAAAGCCTGGAAGGGTACACTAATACGGAACTTACTAGGTCAAACGCTTCAACAGCACAAACAAAAAGATGGGAATTTGAGCGATAATTACAAGATATAAGGCTTCTCGAAAAACCCATCGCTTTTTTTACCCCACTAATGACGCATAGGATACAAAAGCATAGCGGAAACGATTTTGATGTAAAAGTCGCTATCCTCACATGGAAGTCTAAAACACCAACGCGCAAAGTCTTTGAGGCTTTTTGGATAAATGCCAAAAACCTTACAATGAACAGCAGTGAGGAATGCCCCGAGACCGCGCGTGATCTCGCCCCTTACCTTCGCACTGGTCGTTGATGTAGGGTGGTGCAATCGTCAACCATATGCGACTCTGAGCTGCTGTCCTTCCTCCGTGGAAGACAGGTGAAAAAGAAGTGGGTTTTTCGAGAAGCCGTAGATCTTGTAATTATCGTTCAGTTCTCATCTTTCTGTTTGTGTGTTGAAGCGTTTCACCTACTAAGTTGCGTATTGGTGTACTCTTCCAGGCTCTGAAGAAGGCGATACTGCCGAAACGTCAGCTACTGTTGTAACGTACTGTGTTTTTCTATGAAAGTAAATGTATGCTGTTTAACAACCTTGCGATTGTTGGACAAGAGAGCGACGCATTCATATTCCAATGCCGAGGTTAAAAGAAAATCGATTGTGGGAACTGTCAAAGGAAGGATCGCGCGACTTGGCTCCGCAAATTGCCACCTACAATGGCTAGGAAATAGTTACCCCACGAGATAAGTTTAGAAGGCGAGCGACGCGCCGAAACGAAACACTTGGCCAAAAGAAAGTCCCGATTATGTTGCCTTTATTAGCGCGGAATTAAGCATAACTATAAAACGAAGCCTAAAAAAGGCAGATCTAGAGGAATCGGTAGCGATAACTGAAATACCACCGAATACTCTTTGTCGTCAGTTGGTTCGTAACCGCCTGTATGAACGTCTACGTGAAACAACAAATCGCTTAAACGGCAGGGACGGTGATTGCATGAGTTCAGGTACGATATACCTGATCTCTTGTAATAATTGTGGAGATGAATATATTGGCGAAACGGGCAGACCTTTGTGTGTCCATATAAAAGAACACCTAGATGGCAAGTGAAAACTAAGACAAAGTATTCCGCTAGGCACGCATAGGATGCAAAAGCATAGTGGAGACGATTTTGAAGTAGTAGTCAATATCCTTGCACAGGATGCCAGAACACGGGCGCCCAAAATTCATGGGACTTTTTGAATGAATGCCAAAAACCCTACAATGAGTAGCAAGGATGAATGCTCAGAGGTCATACGCGACCTGACCCCGTATGTTCGCATCAATTTCTGTTTTTGGGATGGTGCAATCATCAACCACATGCGACTCTAATCAGCTGTTCTAAGCTTCCTCATTGGAAGCCACGAAAAAGCGGTGGGTTTTTCGAAAAGTTGTCGATCATGTAGTTGCGAAAGAGTTTTTCCTCTTTTTGTAAGTACTATTGGAACGTTTGGCCTAGTAGATTGTATATCAGTGTACCCTTCCAAGCTCTGAAGATGGCGATTCTGCCGAAACGTCAGCTACGATTGTTTTGTATTGCGTTTTTCTATGGAAGTAAATGTATGCTGTTTAAAAACCTCGCGATTGCTGAAAAAGTAAACAACAGATTTATAATCCAATACCGAGGTTAAGAGAAAGTCGATCTTGGGTACTGTTATGAGGGTAATCTTCGTGAACAGGTTGTAGACTACACGCGACAAATATTCTGGACGATATTTACGAAGATCGCTTCGGTCACCCTTCTTGGATCTGATAACCGTGCGTGAGGTCCTCCACTGGTCCGGGATTTTCTTTTTCTGATGGTAGGATCTTCTGCGGGTTCCAGGAAGTACATGCGAATTGTGGCTTTCCTCTCTCAAGGAATCGGAGGCGATATTGTAGTGTCCTGAAGCTATGCCTCTCTTCACGCTTTCTGTTGGAACTCTCACTTCAGACGGCAGAGTCTCCGGCGATTCTTCACCTGTATGATTTCGGTGTCCTAGATGGAGGATGTGGGGCAGAAATGATTGTCACAATGGTCTCGACGGCACTTCTTCAGACTAGGTCGTTTTTGAGCTGTTTCCAATAACTTTTTCTGTCTCTGCCGATATAAAAACTGTTGCAAAGATCTTCTACGGCGAGCATTTATTATCAGGCGTGCTAGGTGTGCTGCAATAGGATCAAGTTTCAGTCTCCTTCTCTTTTTTATTAACTTTTTAGTAGTAATGGAGATCCTGTCTGATCTTGTTGCTTGAGGAACTGAGGTGAGTTTTGCACGATTTTTAATTCCTTCGGCAAACAGTTTGTTCTCGGTCGGATCTTCCTTTACGTGCCAGTCATACGAGTAGACGATTTTATTGGGAATATTCTCGTCGTGCACGACTTGTTTCGTTTTCCTTGGACGACTCTTATTTCGTTCTCCTGCTCCGAAATTTTCCTATTCTGTATTCATTTTTCTTTCCCATCCCTAATCTAGCAATAAAGACTACAACAAGGAATTTATAGAAATATTTTTTGTTCTGGATTACTTTCTCCAAACGGTTATAAAATGTGTTCAATCCGCTCGTATCGGTTATACAAGTTAGAGTGCAGTTGATGATATTCTTTTAGTGCGAAAGTTGGAGAAGAAAAGTGGCCAAGTGCTGTGATACGATTTCGTGTGAGGTGGCTAGATGGTAATTATTAGGTGTACAACAAATCCAACTTCTAATCTAACCAATTTTTGACATTTTTTAACGAAGATTTCTTCCACCTGTGACAAAGGTTACATCATCTCTTCTAGCATAACCTACTTAGATTTAGATGATCTGTCTCCACTGGTTGTGTGTGCTCTAGCATAATTTACATCTTTTCGGAATTTTGCTGGCTTAGCTATTGTGGTTCCTTGGAGACCCAAAGTCAGCGTAGACGAGGTCTTCGCCATAACTCCAGGCAGTCGTCGATTTGTGGATCAGAAGAAGACTTGCCACCATACGACTAGTTTGATCCCAGGACAGTAGTGATTCGTGCTATTGGTTTACTTCTAGTTGGGATTTCGTATTTAAATGTAGGACTCTTTCTAGCTCAGGATGCGTTGCTGAGGGATGAAGAATCGCTGTATATCGCAGCTGTAGACCCAGTAGCATCTTGCCACCACGTTGAGGCGATTAACCGTTGGGATGTATCTGAATGGGATAGACCTATCACCCAAGAATTTAGGAGGGAAAAACTATCGTCTTCGAAGGTTTTCAAGTTTCCAATGTTTTTTCCGAAGATTAAAAATTTCTACAATAAAGGGTACATCTAGAATTTGCAAGGCATGCTGGCAATTTCTTTGTAAAAAAAAAAGACTTTAAGCACATAAAATGAGTGATAGAGAGTGTGGATAGAAGGACTTACACAACTTAAAGAAAAAGCACAGTAAGACTCGGTAGTTTTTCAGGAGGCTTGATTTCGACATTTCCCAGTGGGTTGGCCATCGACCGTTTCAGTATTCGACATCTTCTTTTAGTATCCATGGTTGTTCTTTCTACCGTCAGCGTTCTCGTGCCGCTTTTTGCCGAGCAGTTTGGGCCGTTTGGAGTCATCATATTGCGGTTCCTCATGGGTGTTGGCGAAGTAAATCTCCTTTACATGTATTTTCAATCTTGAAGGTGTTTTCATTTGGAAAACGGACCAAATAACTTAATATTTTAGAATATTTTGCTTCCCTAGTGAAATGCTGCTGCTCGAAGTTTTACTCGTGAGTAGTTTTTGAATAATCTGGATTTATAGGGAATGATGATTCCTGGCATAAATGGTATGATCACTGGATGGATTCCTCTGCATGAGAAAAGCACTGCTGCCGCCCTTCTTACTTCGGGTAACCAGTTAGCGGGTGAGGATGCTTCTGTATCTGTTGGCTATTTGTGGTTCTTAACTTCTAAATGCGATAATATTAAAATTCAAGTATTCTCTACAAGATTCTCCTAGAATTTTTTTTGAATGGACGATAGAATAGTCCTAATTAAAGACAAAGTCAAGTTTTGCAGGAATTTCTGGAAATCCGATTGCTGCCGAATTTTGCGCAAGTACCTTTCGATGGCCGGCGGTGTTTATCGCCTCAGGTTTCTTCAATGCAGTTGTTCTCAAATGTCTATATTTTTGATTACTTTATAAAGTTTAAATTCGCAAGAAATTTTTGAATGACCAGCAAAAAATTTTTCAAAAAATTATTTTCATATTAATTTGTTGGCGTAGTTCCACTGAGGGGCAGAGAATTTCTTGTTGGTATACAATGGTAGTGATGCCGATCATCACGGGCTCCGTGGTGGTTCGATCCCGCCCCGGTCTCACCCAGCCGTTCATCTCTCCGTGGTCGGCAAATTGGTGCCGGGCGTGTCGGCAAAAAAATCACTCTCTGAAATTCATTTGGGAACACTTCAATTCAGCTATCTCAGGACTCCAAGGAGAATCGACTCGACCAACATTCTAAGGCATTCAAGAAGAAATAAAAAATATTCAAGCAATTCCCACGACCGACTTTCTGTTAACCTCGGCATTAATTGATAATTCAATGTTTTTCATCAATAAGCAGACACGAGGTTGTTAATATAGAATTTATTAGAACACAATTGCTGACGTTTCGGCGGTTTCGCCTTCTTCAGAGCCTGGAAAGGTCAAATTGAGATGTGATCTACTCAGCCAAACACTTTCATAACCCTAGCAGATAAAACTTGATAAATCGATTTGTATTCGCATAAGAAACAGCTTCATTCAAACACCTACCGTTTATTTGTTGTAAGTATTTAAGTTAGTTGGTGGATAGCCGCCGCACAGAGTAATACATGGTCGATAACTGGGTCCATGTCAGATCATTGGATCAGCCTCTTTATCGCGCATCTACTGAAAAGGAATTCAGAAGTCAAAATCGAAAACTGAACAGCGAATGGGTCAAAACGGCAAGCGCAGCAGGTTTAAAACCAGCAGACATTTCGCATCTAAAGATCGAAGTGCCGACATGTCCCGTCCTATACTTACTTATCAAGACCCATAAGTTAACACGCGCTGATGATCTGGCGTCTACCGACCC